GCCTGTCTACGCTTATGTATGTCCCATTTAGCTGTCTTTTATTTTTGTCTTTGACTAGTATTGCCCACTGGTGCAAACCATTTTCCCTCTCTGCTGCTTCTGTCCCTGGGTATTTATAGATAGGGATCATATCTCAGAGCAGCCTTCGTCCCCTGGGCTCTCGCAGGCTTGTCTCATGAGATAAACTCCTTCCTCTGATCGCTCTGCTGTCCTTCTGCTGCTACTGTTCCAGGCTGAGTTTATCTTTCTTGAATACAGGTGATAAAAACTGCACACATCGATACAGCCAAGCTGTACTGTCTCCATCAGGAATTGGGCTCATTTTGGAGTTACAATTTTTTTTTTTTAATTTTTATTTTTTTTTTTTTCCCTATGGGCCACCTGACTTCAGTAGCCAGAAACCTCTGTTAATCATTCCCTGATTACCACATGGTGTTTTGCTCCTCCCATGTCTCGTTCCCCTGTTCCAGCCCTCACTCTCCTGCTTTTCCTGCAGGTTATACAATCCTTTTCAGTAACTGCAATCTGACTCAGCTTTTTGTCATCAGCACACTTTGGTGGCTCAGCCCTGCTTTTTCTGCCCAGGGTTTTAATTAAAGTCTTGTATAAAATTAGTCTCAGTCTGAATCCTGAACGGCTCGGTTAATAAACTTCCTTGAGCCCACTTGTTTCCCTCTGTAAACACGTTTTTCCCTTGACCTCTAGCTGCCTCCATGCCCTCTCATACAAAACCTCATTTTTGTCAGCAAAGTCATTAATTCCCTATCCAGACTTATGCAGCTTATAAAAATTACTGCTCTACTGCATTTCCTTTGTTTAGAAAGCATTATCTTATTGAAGAGAGAGATTAAACATAGCAAACTTCTTTCCACACTGTCCCATTTCCCTGTATAGCCTTAAACACTTTTTAGGGTTGTTGTTTTTTTTTCCCTCCAAGCTATTAAAGTCAATTTTCAGTGTTTTTGCTCATTTCAGATTTTCTTTACAGTTCTTGAATACGTGTGACATTTCTCCAGTGCCACCTCTGCCTAGGTTGATTTATTCAAGCTGTTGCTCCTGGAGCGTGTAGTGCTGTGATAAGCGCCTTGTTTGTAGCACAAGCGTGCTGAGATTTGTTCATTACTGGATCTTTTAGTACCAGCTTTTCTGCCCTAATGTCCACCCAGACCTGATTCCTGCTTTCAGCAATTTGACTATTTGCTTTCCCTTGGCTACATGGAATCGAGGTTTCCATTTCATAGAGGCAAACTTTGCCTTCTGTGAGTGTGGCGATGCCCTTTCCCTAACTGAAGAGGTCCTGGTAAGAAGTGGGTACCTGAGGAGGGACACGGGGCAATGGATCTGCGCTGCCCACAGCAAATTCACGTTTGAAGACAGAGCTCCCCAATGTCAACCCAGGCTGTTTCCTTCTGAGAATTCAAAGGTCAGCCAAAAAGGCGCAGGAAATGGGAGCAATCCTGCACAATACAATTTCAAACAGTTTTAATGACAATATCCCTTCGTACCTGCCAGTCGATTTTTTTTTTCTTTTTAGCTCTTTGGCATTGTTAATCTTTTTTTTTTTTTTTTTTTTTTTAATCTTTTTTTCCCCTCTTCCTCTCTGTTTATTTTTGTTGCAGATTTATTAGGTGCACAGTTAAGTGCCATTTAGCTTTGCAGAACTGTCATCACCAGCGCTTTATGAATGGGATCATTCACTGACAAACTATTTAAACACTAAAAGGGGGGAAAATTTACTGCTACAGGTCAATGAAGAAGCCAAGATCAACTGAAACTCAGCTGCATTTCTCCTTGAATATAGGAATGTGACGAAGGCGCTCTGAGTTTTCTTTAACGTATCCTCATCCTTAATTTATCCTCACACGTCAAACTGAATGTCACTCTGTTTTGCAGTGGTATTTTACCTAAAATAATGCCTTTCTTTTTGACAGCTTGCAAGAGCCAGCCCGGAGATCTAAAAATGTGGCTAAACAGGCAGTCACACACCTGCTAATTACGGCTATGAATAATCTGTGACCAGTCATGCAGCCACTGACAACCAGTTCCAGGCAGGGAAATTTTTAGAAAAAAAAGAAGTGAGGAGAGTTTTGTGGATCAAATGCAATCCTAGTTATTCCTCAGGAAAATAAATTATATATATATATAAAATAAATAAAATCTTGCAATCTTTTCATATTTCTGCCCTGTAGCTGGCAGCAGGGTAGAGTGGGGCTCCTTTCTTTCTACCCATAGTCTCAGAGCTTTTCAGGTCAGCTGTCAGGGCTGAACTTCCCTGTGATCACTTGCTGATGTTTTGTTTTCCCCTCCCTCCGTCCACATGCAGCATGGCAGGGCTTGTGTAGTTCAGCACAGGGACCACTGAGGTTATCACGAGCAGTTCTCTCTGCTCCCCTTTGGCTGAAGCATCTCATAGGAAAAGGGAATCTATGTATGAAAGCATGCTTTCTCTATTTTAGATGCTCTCCCCACTTGTTGAAAGAGAACTGTCTCCCTCTTACTTGTAACACATGTAGCCTTCATTGATCGAGGTCATCTGCTTGCTCTTGTTATTTTGTGCATTTAACCAGGTCCTTCACATCCTAACCTCTCATAGTTGTCTTTGCCCAGCAGGGAGTGAGTAAATATATATTTTTATCCTTATGGGTGAATAGATCTTCGAAGCAGGGCTGGACAAGCTCCAGGAGGGCAGCCAGTGGGGACTGCCTGGTGCGGGGTGAGGGAGCTAGGTGGCCTCAGGTTTCCCGTCTCTGATGCTCTGACCCTGTGAATTCCACTGGTTTTTCCCAAGTGAAAGTTTTCTCTTCACCTGATCCTGGGATATTGCCAGGCTTACTGTTCATTATACACGGGGGATCAAGTTGTATTGTAAAGTTGACAAAAATGACAATTTTATATATTTTTCTCCAGCAATTCCACGTTGCCGTGCAAAGCTTCTTGACTAATCCACTCAGATTCAGAGTTAATCCTCATGTGCTTGGTATATTTGTGTGTAGGTATTTGAGAGATTTAAATGGACACCGCTAACCCCTATGGGGTCTCACTTCTTAACATACCTTTAGAAACATAATCTGATGGAGGAAGATGAGACACAAAGGCTTCTTTTCTGTAGCAATCAGCTTTAATTTTACTCTCTTCACAGGCTGAAATCAAGAAATCAAGAACTCCACAATCACAATTTTAAGTGCTTTGCCAACATTCCAACATTACTTGATGCAGAAATTCTAAATTAGCTGCAGTGCCCATTTTACAGATATGGAAACTAAAGGCACGAAGAGGTGAAGCACATTTCTCAAAATAACAGAAAGAGCTGAAAGAGCTGGCAAGAGTGCAAAACCCAGGAATCCTGTCTGATAGCACTAAGAGCATGAACACGAGTTCAGCTGCTCATAAGAAATGTATTTTAATTCCTTTGAAAGGCTTTGGCTTGTGAACCAGGGTATAAATCTTGCCAGAGTTTCTCGTAAATTCTCCTGAATTCCTATGCTTTTGATGCATGGGGAAATATTACAACAGACTTTCTGGTAGTGTTTTATCACCTGCAACTCCAGCCAAAGTCAGCAGGTGCAGAAGGATGTGAAAGGCAGGGATGGGAGCAAGCTGTAATTTTCAGGTCTGGGGCTGGATTATGAAAGTCGTGGTGGAGCTCACTGTCACGGCTGACTTTGTGGTCACCCAAAGCTGCCTGTTAAGAAACTCAGCCTCAAAAACAACAAACATGCTCCTGTGGGGCTGTTCATCAGCTTCAAAGTGATTCAGGTCAAAGCCACCAGCCCTTAAAATCTGAAATTGGGTCTACACACCCATTCCTGGTGAAGCCAAGACACTTCAGATCTCTCAGGCCCCATTACTGGTTTGCATTTTTGTAAAAGTGTGGTTTGAAGACCACTGGAGTCACTGGCAACCTGCATGTTCACTGACTTAAAGCCTCATGGGCCATGCCTGAGCCTACGTGGCTCATTCTGGGATGCCACAGAAGAGAAGTGAAAGCAAGGTGGCTCAATCCCTATTTGTGCTTTCACTTCTGACAATGAAATGCCAACAAATTTAATAAAAGGAGGATTCCCATACCCAGATTTCTATATTCATTCATATTCTTAAGATGGATGAACTAATACCAGTGGATTTCAGCTGGATTTAACAGAAATGCTGTCATACCTGCTCAGTGGAAGGGGCTGTGATTTACACTTTTTGCTGGCTCCTTCTCCAGCACTATCCTCCAGTTCAGTTAATGGTTGGATCGCTTTATCAAATTTTTGTTGCTTTTATGGTATGTAAAAAATGAGGTCTCCCAGGACTGACAATTAAGCTGCAAGAGGTGAGTTAAGAAACTTTATTATTATTATTGGTTAGGGTAGGCATTTTTATTCTCATGCTGAGAATCCATCGGGCAATACCACACAGCAGCAGCTTGCAGCAGTCCTTCCTTTGGGTAGGATTCATCTCACCTCCCTTCAACCATCATTGCTATTCAGTCAGAGCTGCCTGACCCCTTGCCACCTATGGATGGCACAGAGAAAGCCAACTTACCTGCTCCTGGAGATGCCTCTAACTGTAGATAGAAGTTAGTTTGGTTTGCTTAGCCTAGATTGCCACCTTCTAGATAAAACCTAATTTTCATGTCTCTGATACCTTCTGCAAAGCAGATGTCTTACAGTTTGGCTACGTTGTTCTACTTTGCCAAATGCTACCTGCAGCATTGAGTGGAAATGGAGAATACAAATTTAGAAAATCGCTGTCCACACAGGAGGCTCTAATTTGTCCAGCCCATGTCAGCGTTTGGTACCAGATGGCTCCCTCAAATACAAAGAACAGTAGCAGGCAGTTGCAGAGCAATCTCTCTTCCACGACAGCCCTTTTCCTAACCTCTAACAGCTGGCTTCACCCTGCTGCATGACATTGTATACGCCTTCCAAATGCTTCTTACTACTGGCTATAATGACCCTAGGTATTATTATCCGCATAAATTACACTTTGGCTCTTGGGTTTCAGGAGCCCCGGGTGGCAGTGGGTCTTGCAGCCTCATTAAGCTCTCAAATACACCCTTCCTTCTTGCTCCTGTGCCAGTCCCTTCTTGCCCGTCCTGAATGGGTGCACGGACCTGCCCTGGACATCGGTGGTGCATGGACCTGCCTCCCCTCCCTCAGCCCACTGGCTCCTGTGGTGTCTGTAGGTGAGAGCAAAATCAGGCCATAACCTCTGCAACTGCTGGTGACTCTAATTAATAGAGTTCTATTTTTAACCAGCTTTTTTTCAGGAGATATGGGTACTTTGGCATAATAGCAGCTAGCGCATTAAAAATAGGTGAGCTTGCTAAACAGGCTGTGAATAGTTACCTTACCTTCTGTTCTTTGTTTTTGAACTTAGGGGAAGAGGAAAAAAATATCTGTGGTTGCTTAATGGAGTATTAATATCTCGCTGCTGTGATTATTCCATCTGTCAAACGTGGAAATGTTCCCCCGTGCTCAGGCACTGTGTTTTTGAATGGAGACAGAATTAACGTGGCTGAGGCTGTACGAAACCTTCTATTCATAGGGCACAGTTTCTTGCTGTGCCAAGTCCCTTTCCTTGCATTCTAGTTACATTGTCAACGAGTTCATTAGCTCTTGGTCCAGAGTCAGAAGCAAAAGAGCCGTAATTGCAGCTTCTGGAAAATAATGTCTTTGGGGGGAGCTTTTTTTTTCTTTTTTTTTTTTTTTAATTAACATAATTTTACACACATTAAAAAAAAAATAAATATATATATATATATATATAAGTTGAAATGACATGCATCTCATTTTTAAAACTACTGGATTTTCCCTAATGGACCGAATGGATGATGGAGACGGCAGGAGCAACCTTTTAGCAGTGCAGTTAATTGACCATGGCTCAGTGTGCCTAGGTTACGGTGGATTTTCCATTACTGGAAATACTGATATCCAGACGGAATTTCTCGTCTTAAGAAACTTCCTCTAGATAAAATTAATTCTGCGTTAAAAGGGAAATGAAGATGGGGGATCACGTTGGCCACCCTCACCGTGTTACATTACCTCTGACTCCAGTGCTGTTGGGATCACCACAACTCTTTCGGACAAGGGCTGAATAAAATCCGGCCTGAACACTTGCTGCTGGATTTGTGGCTGGTGCAAACCCTGGGCTGCAGGCAGTGGGGTGGTGGAGTGGGGCACGGGCAGCCCCACGGGGCTGGGGTTGCTCTTTCAGCCCCAGCACACGGTGTGCAGAAGAGCTGGGTTGGCAGCGCCTGGAATTGCTGCAATGCAGTTGGGCTTAATCCTGCCTTGGCATCGTGTGCCTGCCTTTACCCGGCATGCCTGTGTACCCTGCTTTATAAATAGAGGAGCAGAATGCAAAAATTAAAAGAGAGGAGCTTTTAAGGCCCATTACATGGTGTCATCATACAAGAATTTGCAGTGGTGAGGATGACATCGAGCTGCAGGTGCTGCTCTGCCCTGCCCAGCACTGGGATTTCTCCTCGCTCCCATCCCTGCCAGCAGACATCTCGAGGTGGGCTCTGGGGAAGCAGCTGAATGACAGCAGGAAAAGAGGGGAGGGACAGGTTTCCTCCCTTCTGTAGGCAGGACAGGCTGGAGGGAGGGAAAATGTGGAGAAGAAGACATCTGTTAGTGCATAAGCTTTCTGTATTTCACCCAGTCTACTTCTATAGAGCTCCCCCTTGGCCATAAAGAAATCATCACCGAGATGCCAAGCATACCTTCTCCACAAGTATCTCCCACTGATCGTAAAATGAATTTAGGATGATTAGCTTTCCAGATGATAAGTTTAGGGAAGCTTTAATCCACCCATGGAGCAGATCCTGAACTTTGGGTGTTACAGCTGTGCTCTTGTGCCCTGCTTTGCACCAAATTGAGCAAGTGATGCCTGGACTCTTCAGTCTGCAAGCAGCTATTCTGGCAGCGAATATGTCAAATGCCCCATGAAAAACACACCAGCCTGCTCATGCAGTTGATAGTTCCTGAAAAAACAGAAGTTATTTACAATTTCTTGCAACACCCCATTTTCAGCATTCCCAGCTTCAAAGTCCTGGAGTTTGTAACTAAAATACTGAGGGCTTTTTGTGATGTATTTATACAAACATGAACATTGAATCCAAGTGTAAGCCTCTTCCCTTCAATGCATGCAGTGTTGTCCATGCAATGTGTCCTCTCTTCTGGTTAAGCATAGGAGAAAAAAAAAAAAAAAAAAAAAAAAGAAAAGAAAAAAAAAGCCAACAGGTGATACTGTGTAAAGAACTTCAAGAACTTTGATAAATAGCTGGTGGGGGTCCCTTCTCTCTCTCTCTCTTTTTCTCTTTCTTTCTTTCCTTCTTTCCTTCCTTCCTTCTTTCCTTCCTTCTTTCTTTCTTAATCTCTCTCTCTCTCTTTCTCTCTTTCTTTCTCTCTTATTTATTTATTTATTTTTAAGAAGATGGCAATATGTAGCCTGTTGAGGCAGAAAAAGAAAACCCCCTCATTCTTTTCACCTGTTGCAGTAGCTTCAAATTTTTTCTTAGCTAAAATTACTGGGTTCAAATGCAGCATAGCATGATGCTATATAGAAACCCAGAGACATAGCAGAGTCATATTTTCGGCTGACATAAATCAGCAGGGAGCCATTTATACCCTCTGAGTATCTGGCAGGGGATTAGCTATTTGCTCTCCTGCCCTCCCTGCCAGAGGCTCACCCCACGAAGAAGGAATGGCTTTGACCCGAAGAAGTTGTAAAGAAAGGTTGGGGTTACGCACGTGTGTTACCGCCGGGTCGATGCGGGTGGGAATTTGCAGCAGGGCAGTGCCCGTGGGAGGTGATTTAGCCCTGCTGTCTGCAGAGGGGACAGCACATTTCCTTAGGCACTGGCATGCCGAGGGATGCCCAGGGCCGGATGGCAAAGGTTTCTGCCTGGGCACCATCCCCAGCAGAAGATCTCTGCAAGGAAAGGGCAATGTTGGGAGACAATGGGAGCCTTAATTGCAGATAAACACTGGCAAAGTCACATGAATCATTAGCCAATGCATTAAATTGTTACATAAATTTTGGAGAAGAGAAAGAAGAGACTTAGCTGTTGAAATCTGGCATTGACAAAAAAATCTGTTCCCACCTATTATCCTCTGAGGCAGACAAAGGGTGAAGAAAAAGGAAAGAGGAGATAGAAACCACATATAAACATTAATTAATGCTCTCCAGGCTTTTTCTTCTTGGTCATGTTAAACCTTTGATCCCCAGGATTTAAAACAGTGCCTTTCTATTGGTCTCCAGATAATGAGTTTGGAAAGGAGTGCTGCGGGAAAGCCTTCACCTTCACATCCTCACCCAGCCGGCCGGAGCAGCAGCACGGGCGCTACCAAGATGTTTCTGTTCACCCTCACCACGATTCTTTGTGTCCACCCTGCTTGCTTTCCACTGGCAGTGCATTAAATGAGTGTGTAAGGTCAGTCGTGCCATCACCGCCGAAAGGTGGTAATATCTCATGATGTATTACCCCAGCTATTCACAAATATCTGAACCCTTTTCCAAAATGCACTAGCAGCCAGCTGTTCCCGCTGGCATAATGGCACAGCCTGGAGGGAACGGGGTGCCTCGGCTGCGTCCCTGCCACGTGGGCTCGGTGCTGCTGGCAGGGAGGGCTGGGAGGGATTTCTCCTGCAGCGCTCGCTGCTGCTCTTTGGCAGGGGAAATGCTCCTTCGCGTGAACTCTGAGGTTAAGCCACATCATTCCTGAGTGTCACTCAGCGCTTAGAGGTGCTGTCAAGAAGATGACACAAGAATTTGTTAAGAAACTAATGTTTCCCCTCTTCCCCTGCTCTCCCTAAGGGCTCGCAGGCACCCAGGCTGAGGAAGCGCTGACGAGAGGGGAGGACTCTGCACACAGCAGCTGCCCCAGGGCCGAGGCAAAGGGGCTGGCTCCATGTGCCCGTGCTGGGGCTGTGTGTCCTTCCTGGGACAGAGGAGCGGGATGCACAAGGCCTGGTCACTTTTTTCTGCTGTATCAGTGAACCTTAACCCCATTTATTATTATTTCTGGGATTCCAAGGATCCTTATTCCGAGCGAAGAGTGAGCTTTGCTGTGGGTGACTGTGACCTGGCTGCGCAGCATCGTTGTCCAACCTGAGTCTCTCCATCAGGAAATAGATAATATCCAGATAATACCAGTCTCAAGAGGTATCAAATGGCACATCTGCACAGATTTTTCTCAGAGTCAAATCCACAGGCAGCACTCAGCCCATGACAAGTAGGAGCGAGCCTGAAACGCAGCCGGAGAGGGGGCGATGCCCAGCCCGAGAGGGGTCTCCTCTTTCAGGAGCTGAGCTCTCTGTCATTCGCAGAGCAAACCATTCATTTTCTCTGGCGAATAATGATAGTTTAGGGTTAAGATTTATGGCATGGCTGTTAGTTCCTTGATGGTAGATACGCAAGGCTATTTAGCTATTGCCGAAGGTGGAAATCCATAAAGATGATGGAAGAGTCTCTCCCCAGACAGCACAAAAGGTCAATTCATTTTTTTTTCTGAAGATCTCCCCAAGCTGGTGATGCTGTTGGTTTCCCTCTCCCCTTTCCCTTGGCACACGTAGCTTTGTTCCTCCAGTTTTATATGCATGCAGGAAAGGAGCCACTCTTCTATATTCTGCCCCCATATATTTGTATTTCTCCCCTAATGTCATACTCAGGTTCAGACCCTCCAGCCTGAGCACTTTTGCCACCACCCTGCTGCCAGCCCCTTGTCAAACCCTTCCTGGGACTCCTTCCCACTCTGCTTGTTTCACCCCACCCTGAATATTTTTGGTGTGTTTTGCATGGTTACTTGTTTAGTTCCTGATTGCACCCTCAAAATAAACAAACATTTCCCATTGGGAAAACAAAGCGAGAGAAAACCCAAATCCTAGCATGTTTATTGCTGGGTATTTAAGTAGAAAATAATAACGTGGAAGGGGCAATAGTAGTTGGGACTGCATGGGAAACCAAGTCAAAATCTGTCAAAATGGAGTTCTCTGTCAAAACAAAATTTTGGCTGAATTTTCCCCAGGTCACAAGGGAGCCTCAAGCGTGGGGTTTGGTGGGCAGGCAGTGCTGGTGCTGGCATGCCCGGATCCTTCTCCTCATCCCACAGCTCCCCGCTGGCATGGCCCATCTGCAGCCTCCTGGGAGAAGGGCAGAGCACCACAATAAACAACAAACAGGGGTGGTGGAGCCAAGCAAAACAGAGGAGGCGAAAGCACTGGTAATTGTTTTGTTTTGGAAAAAGGATTTGAGAGCAGGCAGCGTGTGAGCAGGATGGATCCGTGCTAACACTTGGCACCCCCTGGCACGGTGACGGGGGCGTGCATAGCTCTGGGCCCCCGGCGAGGGCTGTCCCTGCATGCCAGCTGCAATGTTGCTGCTCATTTCTTTCATCGGTGAGGACGCCTGTTGGCTTCCCCAAAACCTCACCTCCCAAAAGATGGGTGGCCTCGAGGAAAGGGGCTTAGCCCATGCTTCAGGCAAACCTGCCCAACATCCATCCAATTTTAGTGAGAATGGGGAGCGCCATGAGAAAAGCAGGGATCCCTGCTGATCTCTTCCCTGGCAGCAGGCAGACGGTGTGGCCAAGCCCTGGGCACCAGCCCCAGCCCAAGTGGTGAGGCCAGAACCTCTGGATGACCCAGCGACTGCACCCCGCTGGGAAACACTCCTTTCCCTGCTACACCAGTGGTTTTTGTGGTTTCAGGCTCAGTCAGTCCATTAAATAATTGGAATTGTGCCATGGATAGGCAAGAGAGAGCAAACTGGGCTTTTTTTTTTTTCTTTTTTTTTTTTCCCCATAAGCACTGGGTGTGATGTTGATTTATCTGGGCAGGAACACACCAGCCTGGAGAGCAATGCCATGCTGGGTGTGTGCACTGACAGCACAGCTGGTGTCTGCACTCTGTCCACCGTCCCCAAACCAAAAATGTCCTGGGCAAAGCGGCCTGGGGACAGCGGCTCAACTCTTCCTGTCCGGTTCTTTGGATATTGCAGTCAGAACATGCCATGGAAGCTGGGAGGGCTTTGAGAAGGTGCAGAAACCCTATTGCAACCCCTGGCGAGACCATTTGAAACAGAAATATTTCAGGTTCTGCTCTCAGTGCTCCCATTTTGCAGAGTTCTTTAAAACGAAATGCAAGTCGTATGCACTTAGTGAGGGGAAAAAAATAAAAAAGAGGATGGATGGGTAACACCTCATTTTCTTTCAAATCCAAATAATTTGACCTCCCACAGAATACAATCCATAGAATTTTATGTTTAGTGCCTGTGTCAGAAGATGCAATTGTGGCTCTTAACTATTGTACGAGTGATGGATTGTTGCGGGCTTCTGGCCCTGCATTGGCAAAGCAGACACAAGCTCACAGCAGCAGTGAAGGTGAAGGTGAAAAGTGCCTGAAGCCCTGCTCCAAAAGAAGGTTCTAACACATCACCCGCCCTGGACTTAGCTTGGGTGCCTGAAGCACTGGTGCAAGAGGAGAGGACACGGCCCCTGCCCAGCTCTCCTTGCTGTGCAGATGGTCTCTCAGCAGACAAGGAATGAGACAAGTAAAGGCAGCAGCTGCCCACGCCGTGTCCCTCTTGCTCCTGAGTTCCTGCCAGGAGTGGGATGGGAAGGAGCTCTTGAATGAGACAAACAGGCTGTCTCCTTTGCCTCACCGCTTAGCTGTCTGGTGTGGTGGAAATTCATTTTCCTCCCAGCCTTTTGGGAGAATCCTGCTCTTCTGTGTTTTTTACCAAGGGCTGCATACCAAGCCTCTGCTCATCAGCGGCCAGGCAAGAGCCAGGAAGAGCTTTGCTCCCCCCGAGGCATGGAAAGCCTGAGTGGAGCGCTAGCCCTGCCTGTTCTTGGATGCTCTCTGATAATGATATTTTAATAAAAGATCTGTCACTCAAATATTTCTGAATCAGTAAAGAAAAAAGGAATGAAACTGGGTAATCAGAACCCTGAGCCCAAAGGGGTAATTAAAAAAAAAAAAAAAAGAAAACACCACAGAGTGGGTGAGAGACCCTAAATATCAACCTTAGAGTCAGAATCCCTCTGGGAAAGATTTTTTTGTCTGAAATCCAGCAAGGTCTGTGATTCATAGCCTGATCCTGCCCTGCAATGGGAGCTGTGGAGGACACAAGGCATATTCGGGTGTTAGGAGCTCTCTCCGTCCTCCACCACCAGGTCCAGTCCCTGCCTTGAGCTGGAAGAGACCCAGAAACAAGTGAAACATCTTGAGATGGAGCTGATCATGGACCAGACCTCTTGGTTCTTGCTCAGGCAGTGCTCCACCAACATGAGGGCCTTGCCAGCTCCTGTGATTGTGTGCTGCAGGTTGAGGACAGGTGGCGTTTGCCCCAAAACTGAGGTCCCCTGAGAGTCCCAGTTCTGGGAGAGGTAGAAATGGAACTAATTCATCCCCACCTTTTGGGGTAGCTGGGAAAAGCTTGAAAAAAAGGCCTTCTTCAAGAGAAGAGTTTAGGAGGCAACCTTTATTGTATTCAAAATCTCGTAACTTTAAGGCTGATCTCATTATCTGTGGAGATGAGTCACGGGTTTTTGAACGTGTGTGGGTGGCAACATAAAAATTTCATCTGAGTAAGGAGAGTGGGGTTTGGAGAGTGGGCAGTTGGTACTTTCTCTCATCCTCCCACATGAGACAGTGTCACTTCGAAAGGTGATGGAGTGAATCATTTCTTCTCCTTTCCATGGCAGATCTGGCTGAAGCATGTGTGCACAGCCTGTCCCTGTCGTTTGACACTCATTTAACACAGACCTTCAACGTTTATCTCAGGGGGCTTTCTGCTAAGGGTCTCCCAGCAAGAGGGGCTTGCAGGCTGGGAGCGGGGTCTCTTCATCACCTTCTTGGCCAGGAGCATCTCCTCCACCTGGTGCACACGGTTAATTCAATGACTGCTGGAGAGATAAAACCATACTGTGATAATTAATCAAAATGTACGGGTACGTAGGCACTCCATCGGCACTTGCTGCGCCTTGGGCTTATTTCACTGTCACTTGATAATGCACTTCTCATCCTGTGAAATACAAACTTGGGTGGAGCTTCCCTTTTCACCCCTTTGATTGTTCATCTGGAATCCCAAGGGACTAGAAATGAAATACATTGGCTTAAGTGATGTTCCCCAGATCAGTAACTGGATCCTGGGAGGATTCCCTGGGGCAGTTTTCCACCAGGTGGGAAGAGGGATGTGTCTCACTGCACTGACCCCTGCTAAGGCAAGCACATGCTTGAGTCACTTACTTATTTTTATTTGTGTGATTTGGCGCAATAAATCACGCTCGTGTTTCCCAGTCTGCCCTGTGCAGCAGTCCAGACGCTTTCCCATCCCATTTTGAAGTGCAGCCTCGAGGCTCTCCATCACCCTGCGCTGCCTGCAGGCACTCGGAGCAAAGCAAGCTCTGCCCAGGATTCACATACCTGTCCT